GAAGTATTGCGAGAGTACAAAAGACCGCTCTATCTCACTTTCATCGATTTACAGAAGGACTCTGATTCAACTGATATAGAAGCAGTCATGGAAGCCCTTGATAGGCAGGGAGTCCCTACTCAGTACATAAAAATTCTTCGTGAGCTGCACAAAAATTTCACAATCAAGATATCACCATTCTACAACGATATTAACATTGACGTCAAGAGAGGAGTTAGGCAAGGCGACAATATCTCGCCAAAATTATTTACCGCCACCCTCCAGAACGTTATGCGAACATTGGAATGAGATAATATGAGAATGAATATCGATGGTCGGCAATTACACCATCTTCGTTTTGCTGATTACTTCGTACTTATAACACCAAGTATTAACTAAGTGGAACGTATGCTTGCCGACTTTGATAAAGCCTGTGGAAAGATTGGTCTTCGACTAAATCTGACAAAAACGATGTTCATGAGGAACGGATTGGTTTCGTATGCCCCATTCACGCTCAACAGAACGAATATCTCTGAGTGCTCCAGTTATATCTATCTAGGTCAGAAAATCAACATGATGAACGACTTAGCTCCAGAGTTGGGCAGAAGAAAACGAGTGGCTTGGGAAGCCTTCAAGAGCATCGAGGATGTAGTGAAGAGAACAAAGAACACCCGACTCTGTGCCCACCTTTTTGATTCAACGGTACTTCCTGCCCTAACCTATGCGTCAGAAACTTGGTCGCTGCGTAAGCAGGATGAAAGATCACTCAGCGTTATCGAACGCGCAGTCGAAACGATGATGTTAGGAGTATCCCGTTTCACACGAGTAAGAGATAGGATCCAAAGCTCCGATCTGCGTCAATGATCAAAAATCAAAGATGCCGTTCTGTACGCCAAACAGTCGAAGATAGGGTGGGCCGGATACGTAATGCGTATGAATGATAACCGATGGACAAGAGCCGTTAGTGACTGGATTCTTCGGGATATCAAACGTATTGCACGAAGACCACCGATCGGATGGTCAGAGTTCTTCGCAAAGAGCCTATAATAGAGATATGATGCTCAACGAGTCTCTAGAGCGAGCAGAACCCACTGAGTTAATCTTTCACGCGACAGGGAGAAATGGAAGATTTACTGGCGCCCGCTCGAATCACTCGACGATCAACATGACAACAGGTGATATATATGATGTTCGCCAGATGGTTCCAGAGACGTTCTGCGTGACCCGAAAATTTGTGAACTCTCACCGGTCGTATCACCGCCTGACGTCATTGACAGGAGCACCCAGGATGCTGGCCCAGGATGAGGAAAGTGAGGCTGGCCTATTGGTGGTTGAGCAATTTGATCTCCTCTGGAATCCTGACCTAATGTTAGAAGGCCTTTTTCAGGTCCTCACTACAATATGGATCTGATGAAATATCTTCTCGCGAAGAATTCCTTCGTTCGGTCTACCTATTAGTTGATTGGGAAAAGATATTAGAACCGAAACTAAAACTGAAGGTGGGAATGAGAAAGTGACCAAGTTCAAGGAAAATTTAGAAGCAGAAATCCTTACATATGTATATATACGTGTATATACATTTATATACATATACATGTTTTTTCGCGTGCAAGAGTAGCCCAGTGAGTTCTGCTCACTTGCACGCGACAGGAAGAGGAAGTACATACATATACGTATATGTATTTATATATGCACATATATGTATATGTATGCATATATGTATACATAAATATATATGTATGTACATACACAACATGCAAATATATTCTCAGTATAATAACCAATCTTCACATTCCATATAAATGATTAAAAAGATTGAATACTCATGCAACATGGACCATAAATTTGTCTCACTTTTACTCGTTTAAGCTCCTTCAGCTCAGATTGGTAGCGAATCAGTTCTTGCCGCTCGCGTTCCTGCTTTGCCTTGAAAACAACTCCATCCTATTTGTTAAAAAAAAGACTGAGAAAGAACAAAGTACTTACTTCCTCGTATAGTTCACCTGTAAATGATACACTACAATAGAAGTGATAATATTACAGACCTGCATTCGTGCATGCTCCTTTTGAACCATCTGCAATTTGCGAAACTCGCTTCTCATGTCTGCTAGTTTTCTTTCATACTCTTCTCGAATCTTCTGAATATGAACCATTTCCCAACTATTCATTGGATTCAAACGAATTTAAGCAAACAGAAATGTAAAATATAACCTAACATTTGAAGGATAAACAAACCATATTTTTTGAGCAATTAATCAATTCGTATAATCAACAGCTCTGGCTACAATAACATGTCAATTGACACACCAACTGAAACGCATTCGGATCACAACTAATTTCTGATGATTAGCTAAACAAGTTCACAATGCGGCAGCTCGTCCTCGACCGGATACTAACTAATTGCAGGATTTCACCAATTACGCAGCAAATTCTGTTATAAATACGAATGACTACTAGACAAATGAGAACGCCTAATCATGTTTAGCTCGGAAATCCAGAGGAAATTATATGCGATCACTACTCAATATGTCAATAAGGACAGAAGTCAGCAGATGGTCAATCAGCAGACGATTTCACAAACGAACCAGACCATTTTTATGGATGACGACTGTAAGAACAACTAAATGAATGGGAGTGCTGTAACTCACCCAACATACGAAGACTGGTCATCTAAATATCTATGGAAGTACCTAACTGTATCTCTCAAACGGTTCACGTGTCCTGGTTGTTATATTTTACAGTGGTTTACCTACATTAATTAGGAAGCATTTATCACCATTTAAAAATCACCGAGGGAGCGGGTAGAGCAAAGATAATGAGCCCGTTGATCACGCCACATCCCAACCGGGCGCTTCTTCGATTGCTCTCTGGGATCATCAACACTGTTATTCGTTCTAAGTCGGGACATTGAAATCAAACTCGTCCGGGACAAGCCGACTCCTTTCATTCTAGGCGGCTACGCCCAAGTACGGCTAAAAAAGGATTCCAACTATAATCGGTTAAACCAACGTTGAACAACATTCACGACGAAGATGAAAAAATCAAGTAGTAACTGAACCTACACGCAAAAAGAAAAGCCCTTTGTGAATGGTGAATGCGAGAAAACAAGTCGAAATGTGATGTCGGGTCAAGTGACAGTAATAATAAGGATGAAAAAAATGACAGTATATGATGAACAACGAAGTGTAAAACACGATCACGATTACCCTTTTACCACTAAGCTCCTTAACGGTCGACCCCCTGCGAAGCTAGTTTAACATATATCGAAAGTTCCTACTACTGACTATTCCAGATTCTCAAAGATGTCCTACAAGTGAAAAAATTAACAAACTCCACAATCTAGAACAATTTATCCAATAGATTTTGTAGAGATACGTTTGCAATGTCTCAGATTTATGAACAAGTTGGTATTATGATACTCGCAGATAAATGCGCTACGAGAAACGCTAACACCCGAAAAACAAGAAGAAAACTGGAGCACCGGAAGAAGTCCTAGAGACCATATTTTTGTGAGAATATTCTGTTAAATCCATCAAACCACAACCTACGCAGTAAAAACGTAACAGAACAACCTTTGCTTTTTCCTCACTAGTTTTGTCGGTCTTCTTTGACTCTGCTTCCATTACAAATTTGTCACGTTCTGCTTCCACTTTTTTGATTTTTGCAGACAGTTCTGTTACCTTTTTTTCATAAGAGAGTATAACCTCCTCCTTATGGCGATGGGATCGTTCAACCTCAGCAATCAACCTACAATGCATTAAAACAGTGCAACTATAGACTAACTTTTCGCTATTTGCAGTAAAATTTTATTAGAAATGATCATGAAAATCACAACTTTGTTGCACAGAAACAGTCCAGTTCTAACCCGAAATACATCACAATACATACAAAATGGTCGTGACTAACCTTTCCACAATGTTGATGTCTATTTGAACATCAGCAAGACTATTTTGGAGGACAGCTCCTAAAACAAAGAATTCGCAGAAATCGAGAAGCAGGATACAAATTGGTAAAAATAACACGACAAAACAACTAAACACCTACATATATGTATAACTACGTATACTTACATATGTATGTATGCATATATGCATATATAAGTATATGGATATATACATATGCATATATATATATGTTAGTATTTAACAATATTTAGTAGTACCGCACTGCACCTTTGCTCTCTTCATCAAATACAGGATCAACGTCGACATCTCGATCAGAATCGTCGTCATCATCCAAATCGTCCGCATCATTGCTGGTACCGTCTTCTTCCGCAGCATCGGCATGAGAAACGTAACCAGATGTCACTAAATCCACTGAGGCTATAAAGCAATTTTAAAGCACAGCAGAAAGATGTCGAATAGCCACAAAAGTCTTATAGAACAAAGTGTAAAAACATTTCAATGCAGAAACATACGGGTCAAAAGTCATTGCTAAATTTATTTCTCATGAAAAGCAACAATGGGCCTATCTCATACAAGAAAATTTAATCAAGTTAGTCACAGCGCTACCTGGTGGATCCTTAGATGTTGGACAAAGGTCAAACTATGGACGAAAATCCATGATGTAACCATGTCATGAAATACATGAGCTATTCCTGTGTCCCTACTACGTGAGATTTTCGGTTCCATACAGATGCCACCACATTCATACATGCATCCACTAGCCTGTCATATGGAATAAAATATTTACTCACATTCGACTTCATTGAGCATCGTTGGAGGAGACTGAATGCATGTCCGGCCATTACAATGACTCGCAGTGGCCTGCCGATCTATCGACCTAACGCTGCTATCCTCCCAGACCATTCTAGTACCAATTTACCGGTCCTAAGGGATAGGGGGATAGGTGAGCTTGGGCCACGTGGATCGATCCAATGTATACTGGGGAGTGTCTCCGACCACTGCGCTACACGCCCCCTCCTCCTCCATTTTGAAGAATAGGACTCAAAAGATATTACATGCACCATCATGGAAGTTCAAAAACAGCAGAAATAGTAGGCTACCTGGTGTCAACCACTATTAAAACGTCAATTTATCTGCCAAAAATAAAGTCATAGATACCCGTATATAATATAAGGACACTAAACATGAATACTAACACTAACCTTCGTTTGAAGCCTGGGAAATGGTTCTTCGAAGTCGTTCAATGTCAGCGCGAGCATCTTCGATAAGTTGTTGGTGCCCGAAAGAAGTGAACGAACTCTCACCGTTTCCTATTAAATCACCGTTGCGACCAAGGGCCTGCAGTAAAACAGTTTGTCTCAACAGAACGAAACAACTTGTGGCGCATTTTTTAAAATTAAATACTATCATATTTTCTGTTCAACCCCACGTCTGCTTACAAAGCAAAGGACCGAGTACACAAATCCAGAAAATAAATTAGAAAACTTTTTGCACAACCTAATTTAGTTCAGAACCATGTCAACAAAATATAGCCAGCCGATAGGTCTTTAGAAAATGAGTTTCTGAACCACTACTTACACCAAACGATAGCTTTCACATTCAGAAGTTTTCAGAAAGTCGTCGATAAAGATATATAATGACTTGAATAAAAATGAAAAGGAAAAATCTGGTATTTCCTTGCTTTGCTTAAATCAATCGTGCATTTCCTATTGGTAACGTGCAAAAAATTTGCTTTTTCCTCGTTTCAGAAGTGGAAAATTTTTTTTTCGTTTTGAGAAAAATTGACTGTCGGCTACATATGATGATGAGGTAATCCGCTACCCCGGAAGCAACCTATCAGGCTATACTTTGCTCTGACTTGATATGCATGACAGTGAACACACCAACGGGTAAATGACCAATTTTCCTGCAGATCAACTGAACAATGGTCTGCCCACCTGATTTTTCCACCTTGTTGACTCCTTCCTATAGTGATTTGCTGTAGCTTGTGCCTCAAAAAATTGCGAGCGCAGTCTTTCTATTTCCTCCAAATAGCTTCGTATTTCAGCTTGAACTGGATCCATAACCACATCGTTCGATACAGAACTAGTTGCCTCTATAACTCAAACACTATAGTCATAGAGAAGCTCATTCTATCCAGAAGCACAGGCAGCACCCACCATCGCATAGCGCCTCATTTTCATGATTCGTGTCTGTTGAGAGGCCACTTCGACCAATGCCTTTCGCCAACAGATCAACATTACGACTACGCAGAATTTCATTTGTCTCCTGCAGTGCTTTTACGCGGAATCTCAGCTGATTCACTTCCGCCTGAAGTGTTTTTGGCAACGAGGTCAGATGCTAACATTATACAAAACTGAAATTGAACAGTTCAAGCACCATTTTTCAGAAACTCACTATCGTCACAACCTCCATCACGCTTCTGTCATTAATAGTCAGCCAACATTTCACGTGAGATTAACAAATGTATTCAAAACGTTATCCAAAATTCGTCCTAAAGACTCACCGTAAGCATAACGTTTTCATGATACTGATCATTCACGGACTCAAAGCCATCACTGTCAACTGTTCGCCGACCTTGCTTGAACTCCAACAGTTCTGCCTCGAGAGTAGCGATACGGCCACGTAGGTCACCAATAAGCTTCGAAGATTTGTCTTGATTAGCTATAACCTGCAGAAATTTACAAGAAAAAATCGTGTGCGGTGACAACACTATACGACATTTGCAGAATGAGAATAAAGGAATACACAAGCTTATACCTTGTTTTTAATATTCTTTGCACGATTCGCATATTTTAAAGTGTTCAACGTTTCCACAAAGTCGCTATCACTAGGTGAGATACAAGCAACCATCAGAGTTCGACTAAAAATGGATTTAAAATATTCACACTTTGAGTAGATATAATGAACAAAAATGAAACAGTAAGTATATCGGAGAAGTGTGCACACCTGTTTCCACCAAGTGAGTCTTGCAGAAGTCTAGTCAGTTTCGAATCGCGATATGGAATATGACTGACCTTTCCATTCGCGCCTCCCAGTGCGCTGATCACATTGCCAAGTGCAAGCTGAAGTAATAATTCAATTCTGCACAGTTCTTCATATTGAATATCTAACAAAAAGGTGATTTTAGAGATCAATTACGGATTAAAAAAACGAAAAGCTCTAAGAGTGTCTTTCATTACTGACAAGTCCACAGTTAATACTAATTCCCTCTCTAGCTCGGTCGCCCGTGGCTCCAGTTCGTTTCAATCTCTCCGACCCTGCTAGATCCACAAAGTGGAACTTAGCTGACAGAACCTCCATTTCAATTTCCTAAAACCAATCACAAATGCAACATTTTTATAAAGTCTTAATCATGTTGGGTAAGCAAGTAATTGCTAGACTCACCTGATTTGGAGACGCCCCATCGCCTGATGAGGGCACAACTCTTTGTTGTTTGATGTGGAGTGAGAAAATCGCATGTGAACGGGAAGATTGTTCGTTCATGTTTGTCGCGGCTACCGTCCGATTAAGAGCGCCGTTTTTCAAAATTTCAACAGTCTGAACAAAAATTCACAATAAGTATTTCTAATTTGAGCTGTGAAAGTAACAAGGGAAAAAATTACGATATGTGAAGAAAAGAAAACTATAAGATATGATCAGTTCAGTTCAAGCCATTGTAAAATATAAAACTACCATATGAAGATCCTGAACATGCTTGCTAGTGACCCCATGCAGAGAGATTTCGCCACGAGAATCTTCATGGATTCGGACATTCTGTGAGGTTCGAACGACTGACAGCAAATCTATGATTTCCTCATTGTAAAGCTAAAAGGTAAAAAGAAAAAACTAGAGCATCAAACGGTTGCATTGAAAAAGAAAACATGAACCAACTACAAGGCCACACAAACAAATGATGGCAGAATCAAAATGGATACAGAAATGCATTACCTCTATAAACTGCACAGATATATCAAATGTCGGCCCAACAGTGCCATTTTCTAGCGCTTCTCGTTTTAATTCATCAACTCGACCAAACACATGTTCCAGAGCTCGTGGTATGATTCCAACCTATATTTAAAGCCTATTGAATGCAAAATGAAAATTCTGCCTCTAAAACACCATCCCCTCGCAAGGTTTTCCAGCCTCATCGAGGCTGGGAAGTGCTGTGTGCCGAGTTGCGATGTAGAACGCGAGGATTCATCCCCATGTAAGGTCTTCCAAGCTGAGGAGTCCGGCGTTTCTACCAGAAAGCCTGGTTTAGAGGAAATCAATACCAGGATCCACCACCATCCTGGTAACAAACTAGTCGAATGGTGGCAAATCTCTCCCTCTGATCCACAAGGGCTGCGACTGCCCGTGGTGGTGAAGACCTGGGGCTGATTTTGGGTAGGCTGACCTTGATCGTCCAGGAAACCACAAAGCTTCAAAAAATGGAGATTATGCCGGAGCCCGCGCAACCAGTGAGGACGGCTGTACAAATATCCAAGTAAGAATACCAACCTCATACTCGTTTAGCGTGGTGGAATCGAACGCGGTACCCATAGTGTAAGTTTTACCGGACCCTGTCTAAATAAAACAATACATTCAACTTTATCCAACAATGACCGTGAAAACGGAAATACTCGATGACTAAACAGAATGTATACGTCAATAAATGAAACTGCTAGTAAATAAAAAATACAGTATAAACAATCAAGCTAATAAATTTCTCCTTAAATAGCAGTTTGAAGAAATCTGTTCAGGGAAATTTGTACTACTGGCATACTCATACATAGTCATCTATAACTGGTTTCTGAAAGGAAGAATATATAACGATATTTACACTCATATACTCGACAGACATTAGGCAGAAAGACCGATGATTAAAGTTTTGAGCTCACTTGTCCGTAGGCAAGGACTGTCGCATTAAACCCATCGAAGAGACCATCAACCAGTTTTTGTACAGCAAAATTATAAAGCTCAACTTGTTGAGTACCTTGATCGAATACATGGTCGAATGTGAACGAACGATCGGTACCAATAGTAACCTGGAAATATTTAAAAAGGTAAAACTTGAAGCTTTTGAAGACTGAAAATGCCTACTGCCCTCACCGAAAAAGAAAGAGCCAACGATGGCAAGACGACGTAAAAATGGTGCAAACTGAAAGACTACCAACCTGCGGTTCCCCAGGAACAACAGATGTACATACACGACTACCTTCAAGCTTCTCCCGACTCCCTAGGGGTCGGATTCTGGAAGAGATATCAATTTTTACCAAAAAAAAGAATCAGACTTCATTCAAACCTGCTATAAAAGTTGACAACAAGAATGCATGGCAAGGAAACCATGACAGTGAAATAAAATTCGACCATATACGATGGGTGTAACATAAACCATTTTCCTAATATTTTACAAGAAGCAAACATACACTTGCTTATCGTCTAATCAGGATTCAAAAGCCTAATAAAAGTCAGTTTAAACTGCTGTTGTTCCGCTATAAACTCCTAACAACTTCGTGCACCGGTGATTAGTCATAGACCCACCAAACTGCATTACGTACTGCCCAGGTCAATTCCCACGCCCTAGCCTCACCAAGCCTTCCATCCCTCTGGAGTTGGCAAATTGGTACCAGACTTGTCTGGGAGGATAGCAGCACTGGCTTGATAATCACCTCCAACGATGCTTAATGAAGTCGAATGCATGGCGCATCTCTCAGGGATCGATCACCGCCAAGAGCTTTATCCTTTATCCTTTTATAGGTTTATTACCACTTTCTGACTTTCTGTCTAAATCAAAGTGTGCAAAACCAAGGGAGCAATTTATCACTATCAAATTTACAAACAGGCTTATAATAAAGATTTCTTGTTTACATTGTAGCGGCATAGAAGCTTCATTCTTGATTTTCAGTTTGCTATAAAGCATTTTTTCGGAAACTAGTTTTGACAGTTTAAATGATGCTCCCAAAGCATGCAAATACTGCGTGGTTGTGCCTACTATCAGAAGATGACGACCATCTTAAGCCAATGGTCAACTTTGCCCCTGCGAAAACAAAAGAGAGAAATGGAGAGCAGGAGTGTCGTTCTTCTTTTGAAAGACACTGGAAGGACGAAAATGATCGACAGCTACGTACCATATGAAAAGAATGAAAGCCAACGAGGTCTGTTTTTCGGTCCTTTTAAAAATCAAAAAAGAAAGCCTATGAATTTTCCAAAGCCAAAAGGCGATCAAGATGACTTCCTCGCTTTCAACAGAAGGAACCATGTAATACTTGAGTAATACTTAATGACTTAGGCCGCCAAACTTTGCCTTCAGCATTCTTTCCGCTAAAGAACTGTTTTTCTTTCCAAGCATATCGACAACTACTATTTCAAAGCCTTCAGTAAATGAATCAGCGTCAGAAAACTTGAAGAACTCGTTGCTTCTAATGATTCCGAAATTTAACTAATCAAAACACATAAACATTTGCGTTGTCGGCGAGAATGTGCGGATTCTAACACCCCTTAGTGCAGTTAAAAGAGCCAGTTCTAGCCCAGTTATGGATTGAATTTCGTGACACAAAACCGCAGTGACTGCACAAACTTAACATTTCCTTGCTCATTTTACTAATGAATTCCAGTTTCAACCATTTGCAGCTAAAATAAAGCAAAAGTAAAACCTATTAGAGGAAACGAAACGCTTGATCTCTAACTATTTAGTGATTCAGCAGTGATTACCAAAAAATCCTGAACTGATATGGATGACCCGTAAACTCTCGTAGTCCCACTATTGTTTGCTCATCAAGCTTATGCCAAAAGTACATGATCACACAGTTCGCTCGTATTTATAACACTAACCTGAGCGCTACTTGGACAGTTAACGACGTGTCTCCACCTCGGGAAGAAAACATTGAGGAAGTTGAACTCCCATCCATTATGAACTAAGGTAACGAAACGTTCATTCACTTAATCTGAAATGCAGGATTAAACACAAACATATCATAGATATGAACAGTGATTAAGAGGAACAAAAAAGGACCATATTTATCCCAACCGATAACACTGAAAAGTACTCTCTCCGAACATTAGTACAGTGGTAAGTTCCGATAGTATAGCGTAATAGCAGGACAGCAAGCATAGTTGCAGCACAATAGCTGGATACTTGAACGGACCATCTTCACTGGTTGGGCGGGCTCCAACATATTCTCCATTTTTTGTAGTTTTGTTGCTTTAGGCGTATCCCTCGAGTCCCGAAGTCAGCCTGGCCAAACTCTGTCTTAGGTCATCACCACCACCAAAGGCAGTCGCCGCACTTGTAGATCAGGAGAATTGCCACCATGCGACTGGTATGATAGCAGGTGGTGGATCTTGGCATTGGTTTACTCTTAGCTGGGCTAGCGCACAATAGTAACATAATAGTAATAATAATGTAAGAGTACCAACAATTCCGTGAAATTCGTTCCCGTCCTTGTACGTACCTTTAAGATCGTTTCCAGATTAATAGACAACATTGCGCCCAAGGGCACAAGCAACTCATATTAAATTTTTTAGACGCAAGAAAGGTATCTCAAAAGTGCATAAATGACAAGGAAGTCATTACGAAGTTGTTCTTAATACTATATTTTACCACGGAACGGTATCTCGACAACATCAGAAAAACAGTGCCAACGTAGCCCTCTAGCAGACCCAAGGGAACTGTTCACTGAATTTAGGATAAAATCACTTATTAAACTAAAGAAAAAAGCTTCTGCTATGCAACAAAGACCGCTCTCCACAAAAAAAATGGTAAGCCTGAAAACAACAGATGGGCTTAAATGGCATTTAGCACACATAAGCCTGTCTACCGCTCTCACGTCCGTCCCGTAACGGCTCCTTATACAGTTTGAATGTAAGACGTGTTTTCTTTGCAGAACCAACCAATAGGTGAAGAACTTTGGACACCTCTGTTTATATAGGACAATTGGCAAGTACCATCTTCTATCTTGTGGGAAAAAGAATCCAAAAATTCTTAAAGGATTCACCTATTATTCGCACAACTGCAGAAACAATGGAGTTCAAACTGCACTGATCAAGGAGTTCAAAATCGAATCTTAAATTCAAGTTGAACACTTCCAAGTGTTGCAAGGAACTGGAACAGAAAGGTCCGAAACAAAACGCTACAACATCGAAAACGTCTTAAGTGAACAAGCGAACAACAAATAGAAACATTTAGTACAACAACAATGATGAACATGTATGCCTTCACTGATAAGCCAACACGTGGCTGTTACATGATCTTCATTCCGCTAACGTTTCGACGTCATCGTCCTCCTCAGAGACGATTATCCGAATCGGTGGACCAAAGTGGTTCGTCTTCTCGATGTGCTGTCTTCGTCGTTCTGTTGAGTAGAATCCTCTTCAGTGGACCATCGCTCGAATGAGGCGACCTCGGCCGGCGATATGGTAACGACGTCTAACTTTCAGTCATCATGGAATTGCTGGTTTTTCAGAAAGTAACAGTAATTTTCGATAAATAGAGGAATTCGTGGGTTGTCAATATGAACAAGTTGTGCCCTACCGTGCTATGGGTATAAATGATACTTATGGTGTTATTACTTGGGTATTTGGATTGCCTGCCTTCATTGGTTGTGCGAACCCCAGAATAAATTTTATTTCTTCGGAGTTCTGCTGGCTTAGCCAATGTGGCTATCTAGAGTCCCGAGGTCAGCCAGCCCAAAATCTGTCCCAGGTCGTCACCACAACTGGTAGTCGCCGCCCTTGTGGATCAGAGGGAAATTTGTCACCATGCGATTAGTTTGATACCGCGACGGTGGTGAATCCTGATACTGGTTTAGTGGTTTACGGTGCTATTTACTACATATTACTATAGTCCATTACACAAACACATTACTCTCAGCATTCGGAAGTGTTTCACAAATTAAGGGTCACTGTTTGAGTAATTTTTATACTCGTACATTCTATACCATAATTACCAGTCACTATATCAATTAAATCCGGTAGCGGATAGCACAGTCGTAGTGATGTCGTCATCACGACCATGGTGCTAGTTCGATTCCGCCCCGGGTCAACCAAGCACAACCCTCCGGTGTCGGGAAATTGGCACCACACTTGTCTGGGAAGAAACCACTCTCTGCAATCCAATTGGGAACGCCCCAATCCGGCTATTTTAGGACTGCAAGGAGAACTGCTCGACCAGCATTCTATGGTATTGAAGATGAAATGAAAATACTCAAGCAGCAACCAAAACCACACGTAAGTTAGAGCTTCGTGGACATGAACGCGAGGAAACGAATCGAATGTGAGATGTGAGAAGTGCCGAGATCCGCACAGTAGACGTGAAGACGAGTCATATAAGTTAAAATTTAAAAAAAATAAAATAGCAATTAGAATTGAAGCAGTAGTCGATTAGCGCCCAAATTTCTGGTTAGTGAACTTGTTCGAAAGACGGGTTTCGCATATTTCTAAGCGCAGAATACAGCTTTTCTCGACCAACGTACGACACAACATCTAGTTCTAGAAGCTATCAATTAATAACAAAAAGTAATTAAAGAAACTTTTGTACAACAAAATAAACTATCGAAAAGGAAACCAGATCTACCGGTGTCCTACCGAGCACTCCCGCAAAACCATTATGACACCTATCGTGAGCAGTGAAAGTGTTACAGAATATAAATAGCAGATGGTGCGACCAAGTCCTCGACTTCATCTATTTCGTAGCCCAAACATTCGAAAGTGAACAAAACAACAATAGAAAGATTCTTTCTACTTCTGTTCAGCAAACACGAGGTGATACTTTATTTCTTCATTTACGTACAAACTGACGTTTCGGCGGATTTCGCCTACCTCAGAGCCTGGAAAATTCAAGTTCACAGCAATCTATTCGGCCAAACACCTCCATAACCAAACAGAGAAAACGCTAAGTCAAGATTTCAATTACATTGAACACAGCTTTGCACACTCACCGCTTTCTATGAGGTCTCCACTGAGTATGTCGCGTGAAGACCAACCGCACAGAATTCACATGGAAGTGTAATGTGCCCCTCCTATCAGAATAACAGGTTTATATACTGGCCAATATCACGCGTGATAATGAGGCATTCTTCCCTGCGGTTCACTTTCGGATTTCTGGAATTAATCCTGAACGCCTCGAGAGTTTTGCGCACTTGCGTTCTTGTTTCCTGTGCGAGGCTCGTGACACGAACTTCAAAGTCCTCCCCGTTATGTCTCTGGGTCTACGCGTGCCTCGCGGGGCATTTGTTTTATCTCTGCCGGCTAGGTGTTCTTTCATGCGGACACAGAGGGGTCTACCCGTTTCGCCAATGTATTCGTCACCACACGTCTTACAGGAGATCAGATAAACTATACCCGAGCTCATGCAATCACCATCTTTACCATTGGGGCAAATTATGCAATTTTGCGTTGCACATAGACGGTCATATAGGCGGTTACGAACTAGCTG